AATACACCCCAAGACTCCAGTTTCCTCACAGCCTTTCTATTTTAAGTTTTCAATAGTTAGAACCTCAATTGTGAACTAAAATGTGACAGAAAATCAACTTAATGACCAAATATCAGTCCCACTTCTAATCTTGCTTAACTCAACACCTAAATAAGTTCTAAATGACTTAAGAAATGACCCTAAACTTCTGATTTTCTCTTATAACTAGTATCTCAAAGCCTCAACTATTAAAACCCAAAATTGAACCTAAAACCTTCTAAACATTGACTCATACCTATTTCCTTATCATATTTTTATCAACTCAAGGTGCTCACAAGTTTTAAATAACATATAACTAGACCTGAAATACTAGATTTTTCAATCCAAACACTATCACCCAAACTTGTCTATCAAAACCTTCATTTTTAACCACAAAAACCTATGTCTTTAGACAATTCAATATTCCTTAAACATTGCATCCAGTTTNGTTAAAAACATGAAGGGTTATGTAGCAATAGGTAAAATTTTGTCTTACCTAAAATAAGTTATTTTGCTTAAAATATATCTATTTAATAAATATAAAAATATTTATCATAATTAAAAAAAATACATTTGAAACAAATTTGTTCAACAAATTTTAATAAGAGTAAGTAGTATAATATAATCATCTAATAAAAAAAACAATAATACAAGTCAGAAAAATAGGGGTGTGTGAATTTTAGTTTTGGCATCAATAAAAAAATATATTTAATTAAAAATAAAATGTATATGATAAAAAAAATGTATACTTTAATTTAAGGTATACATTGTTTGTTATTTTATTAAAAATACAAAAGAGTCTTTTAAAAGTTAGAGGTGAAATAACAATTAACTTTTTTTAGTAAGAAAGGTGAGTAAATTACTTTAAAATCTAAGATATATGTAATTAGTTTATTTATAAATGAAGCTTTTTCTAAATTACTTTTTAAAACTTTAACGTATCATATTTTTTATTTTTATTTATCTATAAATATTAGTTGTTAGTATCCTCTTAGTTGAAAATTTGAATTTATAATATTTTTTATTCTCCCTTCTAAATCTATTAAACATTCTATATATCTATCAAATGTTAATAAAAAAGTTGAACGTAAATTTTATTTTCTTTTCTTTTCCTTCCACCTTCTAAGTCGTTATGATTCCTGAAAAACAATTGCTATGATTTGCTATTACGTTTGAAAGCACAAAAAATAAATAGAATGACAGACACACACATATATCTTTTGTCATATATATGTTTTCACTTTATTATGAAGACAATTGAGACAATTAATGAGAATGTTTGAGATGTTCATAACAAAATTATTAGCAAGATCTGATATCAATTTGGTCCAACCTTAGCGAAGGAGATCATCACCGAAAGGAATAAAAGGTATTTGTCGTCTACAATTTTATTATTGTCCCCTTTCTTTGTCTGCCATTTTTCTTTCTCAGGACAAATATTAGTAATACTAACACAACTTTTCAGATTATTTTTTATTATTTACTAAAATATATGAAAAATTTATTTATTTATCTTCACTATTATTACTTAATGAATTTGTATAACATCTCAATTATATAATATTAAATTATAACACAGCTATCACGTAATTAATAAAATAAAAGAGTTAATAGGACATGGAATACAAGTTTTCATTATAGTCATTTATTATAAACATAAAATTAAAACTTTATACAAGTCAACTAAAGCAACACTATATACAACAAACTAGTCTAGAGAAAACTAAACATTTGTTGTCCCTCGTCTAAAAACTCCTCCGCAATCAACTCATCGCCCTACTTACACCCACTAGATGATGATAACCAAAACAAAATCACAATAACATACAAAAAATACACAAACAAAAAGGGTAAGCTAGTGATACAAAACAATTCATAATATAATTTAAGCATTTCACACTTGAATCATATTTCACATCACACAAACCAAACATCTTAAATATACCAAGACCTAGACTAGACTATCTGAATTTAGTATGAATGTCGAGCTATGGCAAGTTATACACTTATGGTGGCCTCTACTGCTTTGCAAAGTCATTGTTAACGGGTTTCACCCGACCACACTCACAAGGTTAGTTTATACTACGTCTTAGGTCATACTGGAAGTACCTAGACTAAGACCTCCTGCTACTCTTATCACATGTATCAATCTTCTCTAATTGAGAATGAATGATCATTAGAGTTTCAGGATAACTCACACGACTGAACTCACTGTATTCATACCAACAACACTTGAAACCCCACTAGAAATTCTTCCTTGGAATTCTTTTCCATAGTTTCCATTCATATATACATATAACTTCATGCAACACATCATAAATTCACATTAGACCATTACATATTTATCAAAGTATCCAAATTAGTGCATCAAAATCACATAATAACCTAAAAACTGGAAAACCAAAAACCTACAAAAGGGTGACAACTACCTAGCGCTAGAGCCCACTAGAATGGGGCACTCAGCGTGAGCGAGCCAAGAAGCTTATTGGAAAGTGGCGCTCAGGCGACCTTAAAGGGGGCTCAACGCCACACCAACCCCTAAAACACCCCAAACCAACTAGACTAGTTTAAACTTACCCAATCTCATTTCTACTCCTTCTAACACCAATTTTAGCAAAGCAAAGGTATGAACAAGTCATAATGGATTCAATAATACACCCCAAGACTCCAGTTTCCTCACAGCCTTTCTATTTTAAGTTTTCAATAGTTAGAACCTCAATTGTGAACTAAAATGTGAAAGAAAATCAACTTAATGACCAAATATCAATCCCACTTCTAATCTTGCTTAACTCAACACCTAAATAAGTTCTAAATGACTTAAGAAATGACCCTAAACTTCTGATTTTCTCTTATAACTAGTATCTCAAAGCCTCAACTATTAAAACCCAAAATTGAACCTAAAACCTTCTAAACATTGACTCATACCTATTTCCTTATCATATATTTATCAACTCAAGGTGCTCACAAGTTTTAAATAACATATAACTAGACATGAAATACTAGATTTTTCAATCCAAACACTATCACCCAAACTTGTCTATCAAAACCTTCATTTTTAACCACAAAAACCTATGTCTTTAGACAATTCAATATTCCTTAAACATTGCATCCAGTTTCAGACATCAAAACAACTTTATAACATACAATTCATGACAGCAATAACATCCAAATTACATTACATCAGAAATCAATAATCAAATAACTAAATTTACTCATTTAAATGAGCTAACACTAGCATAATTATTGAAATTATAACTACATCAGTTTAACAAACATACAAGCACCAAACTTACACAAAAAACATAAATTAAAGTTAGACATTTAACTTCCCTTACCTTATACTGAAGCTACGTAAATCTAAAAACTCTAACACACTTGCTTTTGACTCAACAAGAAACTCTGAAAACACTTACAAAACATCGAATTGTGATCGGAATGAACCCTTAGGATCTCAAATTTACAAAGAAAAGGAACATGATTGATACATGGGAAAGGGGTTTCCTATGCATAATCATAAACTGATAATTAAAGGAAAAAATGTATAAACTTATTTGCTCTAAACCAAGAACTGATCGGTAAAGATTGAAGATTACTCAGTTGTGATCTCTTAGAAGTAATCTGATCTTCAAAAAAATGATGATCTCTTAGAAGTGATCTGATCTTCAAACAAATGATCGAGGAGTTACAAAAGTTAGAGAGAAGTGAAAGAAAACTCAAAGACAAAGTTTTAGATAAATGATTTGTATTTTAAGTAATGAGACGTGTTTAATAAATTTTATTTATTTTATAGAATTATTTTAAAATAAAACACTTAATCTCATTATTTTAAAACAACTATTAACTTTAATACTCTATTTTTTAAGTTTTTACCATTTGTCTCCTGATATCACAATCTTTATTAATATATATAATATGTACTAAAAAAATGTATTAGATATTGTGTTTCCGAAAATATCTCTTTATATCTTTTTATAGGTTTCCTTCTTCTAAGTTCAGGTTGTCTGCAGTGAGTGAGTGAATAAAGGTCATAACACTTCAGGCACAAATCAAAACTTTGGAAGGAAACTTTTCGTTGCAAAATTAAGGAGCATATTCTAATTATGAGAATCACCGTTAGATAATCAACAGAATCAAATTCTTCTTTCTCAATGGTTTTGAAACACGAGATTTTAATCATGCTTTTTATATAAATTTATTAGCATTGATTATAATTATGAAATTTAATAACAGCATTTCAACATATTTTTAGATGAAAAATTTAATTTTAAAATAAAATTCAAATAACATACCCAACAAAATATTAATATAAATAAATTTAGTATTTCTGAAAAATAAATTTAAATGAGTTATATCACAAAATATAATTTTTTTTAAAATTATTTTTTTCATAGATATAATATAAAATCAAATTCACCCATTATCAATCACTCAGTTACTTAAAATATAACAAGTAATGAGTAACCTCATATTAGATATAATACTTATACCATCCTACCAACAATCAATTTACTAAAATTAATTAAAGTACTTATATATGAATTTAAGAATATTCATTTAATATTTATTATGTATTTTTGCTACAAATATACGTGCATACTACTATTTTTTGGTTGTGTATACATATTGAAGTGACAAAGGGAAGCTTAGAATTTGATTATGCAAACGTGGAGCGTAGAAGAATAAAATGATAGAATGTTGAAATTTTTGTATTCATTTTAAAATGTTCTTTTTCCTGAAAAATTATGAGGTTATTATTTCAGGTGGTTGACACCAGTATGTATGTATGGATGTATTACTTACACGTTCTATGTCATACCTGCTGAAATGACCTTGAAAAAAGATACATACGATACGAGGACGAGGAGACCACCTAAACTATAAGCTCATAATGATTACATTCTCGATTTTTTTACTAGATTCATAATGTTGAGTTTAGTTTATTCTTCTAAATCACTTGAATGACAAGATTGAACCGGAGTACAAAAAAAAAACTAACATAACATTGAAATTGCTACTTAAAATGGAAAAGGACGAGCACAATTCTAGCTCATCTCCTCTCCCTCACAACACCTACAAGAATTGTAGAAAGGAAAAGAACACAACAAAGTTGCAAAATCATAAATAACATATTGAGGGCACTGAAACTATCTTCACCCCATTTTCCAGGTCATAGCAAAGTTTTTACCCACTGGGATCTTCAAGCCCTTCAAAGCAACCATGACAGTTTTCTTTTCTCCTTCTCCCTCACTGTTCAAGTGCTCATGTTGTGATGTACTAACATTCACATTTGACGCACCAATTAAAGGCTTTCCATCTATCTCAAGTGAAGAAACTGCTCCACTTCCATCTAATCCCAACACTGATATGGAGTCAATGATCCAACCTTTATCCAAGGCAAACTTCCCCTCTTGGACATCTGACCAAACTTTCACGGCTCCTTCGTTCACAGTTGCATACAGATCAACATAGGTTGAATAGCCATTTCCAAGGTTCATGTCTGGTAATTCATCATTGTCAAGGAAAAGGTTGCCCTTAGCCTCTCCTTGTGCTGCGCCAGATGGGAAGGTTACGATGAGGGTGAAGGGTGTCATTCTGGCCTCCTTGGAGACCATTCCACCCTGCTGCATTGGAAGAATGGTATTCTGATACAAATGCACATTGACAACATGCAGAGGAGCATCCAGGGTAACATAGACTCCATCCTTTGATGTAATGGTGTGAGTCCAATCAAGCAAACTGTACCAGCTACCGGGAGGAAACAGTGCTTTAACTTGTGTTTTCCCCTGCTCAAGCACTGGAGAGACCATTAGACTGCTTCCTAGCAAGAACTGGGTGCTAAGGCCATAACATTCAGTGTATGTTGGGAATGAGAAGAAAAGAGGTCTGGCTATTGGGGCTCCACTGACATGAGCTTCATAGTTCAGGGTGTAAAGGAATGGAAGCAGCTTATACCTTATCCCCAAAGCATTTCTAGCAGACTCAGCCACTGACTGCCATTGGTAAAGCTCCTGTCTAGGGGAGTAGTAGTTTGCATGATCCCTTGAGAATGGGTAGAAAGCCCCTACTTCAATCCATCTATTGCATAGTTCTTCAGTAGGCTGTGGATAGAACCCACATATATCTGAACCCACCATTGGCACCCCAAATATGCCAAAATTGAGCATTGTGGAGATAGAGTACTTCAAGTTTTCCCATGTTCCCTGATTGTCACCTGTCCAATGTGCAGCATATTTGCCTGAACCAACATAAGTAGAACGGGACAAAATAAAGGGTCTTTTTCCTTGAAGCCCTTGAAGGCCCTTGTGAGTTGCAATGGTTTGTGAGAAGCCATAAAGACTGTGAGCGTCATACTCTAACACACCGTTATAGTGGTATGCACTAGTGGCTATTGTTTTGAAGCCAATAGGAGCTTTTATTCCTGAGGCGTTAATTTTGTATGGAGGATCGTCCCACCTTGTGCTTGTGATGTTCTTGCATTCCAAGCAACATATCCATCCAGGTCCTGTTCCAGTAGGGCACTTTCCCTTGGGAAGTTTGCACTTTCCAGAACAGAAATTTGACACCTCGTTCATGTCGATCCACAGGCCATCAACAGGTACAAGTTCATGGAAGCGGCGGATCTCATCAACCCACCAAGAAACCGTCTTTGGATTAAGAAAATCAGGGAAGTTTACTGCCCCAGGCCAAACTTGAGCCACGAAGGGTTCCCCATCATATTTGATAAAAACATCATTAGCCATACCCCTTTGATAAACACCATAACTGGTGTTAATAGCAATTCCAGGGTCTATAATGACAATATATTTCATGCCAATGTTGTGTATCTTGTCCAGGAAGTTCAAAAGCTTTGGACGAGGGTAGTTCGCAGGGTTGAGTGTGAAGTCCTTCTTTCCATCCATGTGATCATCATCATTCCAAATCACATCAAGTGGGATTTGAGCCTTCTTGTAATTCTCCACAACATCTTCAACCACTGAGAGATTGTGATATCCCCATCTGCATTGGTGGAATCCTACAATACCAAATACGTGAAAATATCAGTTAAACTACTCATGGAAAGAAAAATCCAGATACAACTTTCAAATGTAAATGCAAATTATATAGATATAAGGCAAAATCTCTCATGCTTTAAATTCACCCCACTTCCCTACACTTCATAAGCTCTTGTCTCTCTGCTCCACTCCTCTCCCCAAGGACAAATATACACACAAACACAGCATGAATCCACCATTAGATCGTAGGAAACAATAATAATCTAACTGTATACTTCCCTTGACACAAGGATAATGTTATTCCAGCATGTCCGCAAGATCAAGCAGATTAAATAACAAAGGGCATCCGAGATCAGGACAGCACCAAGTTAAAATTGAAGATGGAAAGTCCTTGGATCAGTTTTAAAATTGTATTGAAAACTGATTCATGAATTTTTCACAATAATCCTCATCCCTATTGTAGTAATTGATCCTTTAATTCCATTTATCAAGAAACCCTATCTTTAAAAGGACAGGAAAATTATTGCCAAGGTTAGTCCTATCAGTACATCTTTCTCCCTAGATAAAAAGTAAAGTGATATAACCACGTGTATGCAATGATAGTCCTTGACAAGGACCCACAGATTGCTTTGTAGAATCATGTAACAAAGGTCAAATTCTTGAATCAAAAGTTATTTATTTAGAAAAGAGTAACTCTTTTATATGGAAAAGTTAAGTTGCCAACTTTTATGTGGCATCTTATCGTTCCATGTGGACCTGAAAGGTATTAAATTACTCAACTACTAAAATTGGACGTACAAAAGTTAACCACGACACAATTCATAAAATTTGTGACTTATCTTTGCAGACCCAACTTTAGAAAACAAATCAGAACATCCCCCGTTATTCAATATACAGATAAGCTAAAGCAGAAAACAGCTAATTGGAAAATCATAACTCTCTGCATTTTCAACTGCATTATGCACCAAAACAAAATAATATCAGAATTGTACACAAGAAAAGTCACTGAAATCAAATAATGATATGAGAGCTTAAATTCCTTGGATTTTTTTTTCAAGGCGAGGACACTGTATCATTAAGTATTTGGATCTATCAAGGCCCAGTTTTCGTAATGAATAATTACTCAGTCTACCTAAAAGGAGAATGCTAAATGTTGAATATTAAATATTAAATGTTGACAGCACCCAAATAAATATCAGTAATGCCATAAATACCAAGTAGAAAAGGCAATATTAAAAAACAGAAGAGTGACAAATGAATCATACCAAAGGCCCAGTAAGGCATTGGAGCTGGTCTACCAATTAAGGTAGTGTACTGATCAACAACATTCAGAGGACTAGGCCCAGAAAAGAAGTAAAAGTCAAGAACACCTCCAATAATCTTGTATGTAAGAGAAGTTCCTGTGTAGAAAACATCCATTCCATTGCTATTGAGCAACAGAACACCATGTGCAGAAGCCTTGCCACCTGAGTTTCTGAGATCCATGTACACAGGGTGCGATCCATACAGATCGGCATTGAGATTAATGGCAGAAATGTCAGTGGTGTACAAGGTGTAAGGGTCACTAGGGTACAACTTGATCCCATGTGGCTGTGTGTTCTCTCCCAAACCATACAAGGAGGCATCCTTAGGCAGTTTGGTGGAAATCTCAAGGTACTGGTCCTTGAAAACAAGAGAACTAAAAGGGTCAGAATCACCAGAGGAGGTATCAAAAAGGGTCTCACCATTAGACTTCCTTTTAACCACAAAACTAAAAGGGTCTGAAGTGTAGCTAAACAGAAATTCAGAACCAGAATACTCAGTAACAGTTATAGGGTTCTTCCTGAACTTCCCAATGCTTTGAGACAAAGGTGGTGGTTGCTCCCTCGGTAAAAGGTTGTAGGGAACCTCCCACCTTTGCTTCTGTGCATCGGTTATGTGTACCCTTAAACGATTATCTGCCTCATGCCTGCGATATCAGAAACAATTAACAAGGTCAAAATTAGAATAAAAAAAAAACTTTTTTCTTGGATTGAAACACAAAAAACAGTATTTATTTTTCCTCCATAATTGTCTTTCGTTATATTAAAATACTAAATATAAACATACTAGGTAAAAAAGACTTTCTTTTCTTTTATTGAAACACCAAAAGCATTACTTTTTCCTCCATATTCATCTTCAAGATCCTGTCAGATACTGAATAGAAACATTTTTTTTCTAGCGGAATCCACAATCTTATCCCACACACTTCCAAATACAAAATAAAAACATTTTCTTTAGCAGAGATTTAAACATTTATGACTAACATCTTTCCCCAAACTAATTTTATGAAAATAAAAAAAGGGGACTTTCTAAAAACAAAAATGCAGATGAATGTGCACAGCAGTAGTAGAAGAACTGAGACTTACTTGACATAGAACCTAAGAAGGGGAATGTCAGGGCCATATGTTTTGGTTTTCTGCTTAAGTTGCAGGATCCCTATAAGGCCACCATCAGGGGTCTCTTCAATGGAGACAAGACGGTAGCCCTGGCCAATTTTTGTGGCATTTTTGGAAGAAGAACTAGCTCCTGCTGAACACAGAAGCAGAGCTAGGAGAAGGGAGGAGAGAGATATAGCAGCTAAATGGTTTGAAGACACCATAGCTAACTATGGAGTAATGCAGTGGTGAGTGCTGCTACTGCTACTGTGAGGGTAGCAATGGTGTATAAATAACCAGCCAAGCAAGGTAGATGCCTGATGCAGAGCAAATTACCCTCTTACCCATATGTGTATTTTTAGTAGGCTTGTGTTAAGATATGAGTATTACTATAGATAAAATAATATATATAATTTGGTATCCAAGGTAAGAAACTGTGTTACTTTAGTTCTTACGTGATACTGTAAATAAATTATGGTATGCCATCTGATAAATCTGTTCTGGTAAAGAGATAATGATTTTCTTTGCTGTGGTACTCATTATATTTTTATTATTATTAATTTTTAATCAAATATCCTTTTATACTTATAATTTTTATATAGAAATTAAGTTATTATACCATTAATGTTTTACTTTGCATTTAGTGTTTATTTTTATATTTGACGATTTATTTATTCTTACTTATTGGTTATATCAATTAGAAATCTGTTTTCAGATTATGTATTTATTTTTATTTAATTATAATAAAATCTTTTTATATTTATATATATATATATATATATATATATATATATATATATATTACATATTCCAAAATTTGTGTCATTATTTTTTAAATTAGTTTTAAGTGATAAAATTTAATTTAAGATAAACTGAAAATATACTTCTTACATTTTTCTCTAAAGTATGTCGGAACATTACATATCACTATACATTTAATTTGTTATTTTAGTTCTTAGGTAATACTTTGAATAAATAAAGGCATATTCTCTTATATACCTTTTACTGATTTATGAAAATTATTAAATAAAAGGTAATAATATTTCCTATTTAGAAAATTTTACAACTATTTAATCCTTTCTTTATTTAATAAATAAGACAAAGTTTTTTAGTTAAAAGATGATTAGTTATCTATTATGAATTATGCTATTTAAAAAATATATATTTTCTTATGTTTCCAACCAATTATATTTAGTTGAATATTTAACTATTTGTATAAGTCGTGTTCACTCTAAAATTAAAAATTGTTTCTAAATTAACCATAAGTTAGGAATACTAATTTGACCACATAAATAGGTTTTCGGTTTTCCAAATTATATATTTGAATTAATTGTTTTCTAATATAGTATTGAGGGAGACTTGTGTGACGTTGAGTGTTTAGTTGGTTGTGTAAGTTTGGAAGTAATTTTGCTCCAAACACTTAAGTACCCATTTTTCTGTCGAGCGACCAATTTTGCGAATGGTCTAACGTTATGATGGCAAGACACCGCTAAGTGCTACTTTTCACTACAAGTTTGAAACTATTTTTAATTCCAAGCCATTGAGTGACAGAATGATGTCGCTGAGTGAGCCATTTTGTGAGAAGAATGACATTTAACGCCAAAGTTGCAATGAGCAAAAACTTTTGTGCGAAAAGTTTTGTGCTGAGCACCAATTTATATGATTATTTTGGTTTATTCCTTTAGTTGTTTTGTATTTATCTATATCATTCATAATTTTGCTAATAAGTATAATGACTACATGAATGTGCATGAGAACCTTATATGCTTATGTATGGTTTGGTTGTTGAAAGAATTTTAATGAGAAAATCTATGTTGTTCAGTGTCTGTGCATATGGGAGTTCAAACATAATGTATCCTGATGTATTATCAACTATTTAACTCATACAAAGATGAATGGGGTAGGACACAGAATGGCATGAGGTATTTACTTGAACTTTTGGTCTTAGGCATGAAAGATTAACCTTAGTAGTAGAATGATAACCACTATGTTTATGACTCTCTAGAGCATAAATACTACTATGAGTGCACATCTATAGTGAAACCCTGTGTTAAAGCATATATCTAGATAATTGAGTTTAAAGTCAATTATATGTATGTTTATATAAGTTATAGTATTTTATAAATGTTGAACTAATATGTCATATGCTTAAATTGCTTTATGAAGTTTTCCTTTGAATATTAACTTACTCTGTCTTTTCTTTTTTTCTATATTGTTTTACTTTTACAATGATCACCTCTCAATGTGAGAAAAAAATAAGTTAATCGCTAACCTACCTTTGATGAAAGGAAAAAACTTAAAGGTTTATATTTGTTGTTATAGCTAGACGTTATATATAGGAATTCTTTAGTTTTAAACAATTTTAGTAGTTTCACTTGTACATATATTATATTGGTATAATTATTATTTTGAGTAACTGTCTTAATATTTTGTATGTTCTTTTATTTATTTATTATACATGATCAAAATTTATAACATTTCATTAGTTTTATACTGGATGTTACATTTAGAAAAAAATAAAACAAAATAAATTTATTTATAGATTAAAATTAATTAAATTGTAGAAACTATTTTTCATTATTTATTTAAACTTAATTGATTTTAAATAGTTTATAAATTTCAGAATTTTTTTAATATATATTTAATTAAGCAATTATAATATTATTTGACGTTTGTCTGCCCTAATTATTATTGTTTTTGTTTTTATTTCATCTTTGATTTATTCAATTTATTTTGTTAATGTTTTATAATTTATCGATTAATTTCTTTTTAAAAGTAATTTAACTGACAACTTAACAAAAAAATAAAAAAGTCTATTTTAATTTATAAGTTAAAGATAAGATGGTAACTAAATATTCTATTATTTTATTATTGACAAAACAAATAATAAAATATTGAAATAAAAAAATATTTGAGGTATTTAATAAAACAAATTTTCAAATTTATATATTATTTAAATATTTAAATAAAAAAATATTCAAATTTATATATTATTTAAAGTCTTTTATATGAAAAATTGTATTAATGAATGAAATTGCATAATCCCCGTCCCACTCTACACTCTACTTGCAATGTCACAGCATGGTGTAGTTTCAAAAACTAGCTTTCCTTAACAGGTGACAAATATGTTAATAGTTTAGGAAAAGTTTGTCTTCTTATAAACATTTTTCTATTCACTGTCCGGAGATGATGGCAACAGTTAATAATAATGTCAAGATATTAATAGGGTTTTACATTTCATATTGATATAGTGCAGAAGAATTTTAAAACTAAGATTTAAATTTTAAAAGTAAAAAAAATCTCTTAAAACTAATAACGTATTTTTTGAACATTAATCATTAAATTAAATTTTTAAAATAAAAACGTAAATTACATTATTAAAAGAAAGTTAAAAATATATTAATTATGTTTTTATCAGTACAACTGAACCTACAATACAGTTCAATATCAAAAACGTTTCATATAATTGAATTAAAATCATTATATCTATTATTTTTCTAATTTAACAATCAAATTATGTCAGATAAATTCTAATTTTTAACTATAATATGTTTAACCCTTTTGTAATAGAGATAAAATTTAATTTAAATTTGAATAGTTAAAAATAAAAAATATATATTAACCCTTGGAAAAGCAATGTGGAAGTAGGAGGGAGTTATCCGATGCATGTGATAGTGTGGGGAATCCCAACAATTGTCATGGTGTGTGGGGGTAGTACGGTCCCATCAGCGTGCTTTGTTTCTTTCTAATATTTCTTTCTAATATTTCTCTCTCTCTCTCTCTCTCTCTGGACCCATCTTGACCCATCTTGCGCTTGCGTCTCACATTTTTCTTAGCCCTGCTTCAGGGCATCTTACGCGTATCATTTGTAATGTACTCGTGCACAAATTCAATATTAATATTAAACACATGTTTGGTTACATCTTATTAACTATCTCTACCAATTTTAATATCACATTAGCTCTTCTAATCCGTCAATTAAGAATAAATTAAATCATTGTTCACTCTTTCTTTCTCTTTACTCATAGAAGAGACATAGGAGGTACGGTTTGTGATATTTATTGACCTCAATGTGTACATATGACATTTGTAGGGTTTTCTCCTCTGGATATTTTTCTTTCTTTATAAAATATATCTAGTTGTTTTTTTCTCTTATTTTATCAACTATTACTTCTTAGATATTGGAGATTTTATAATAATAGAAGAAGTTTACTTGACATTAATGAATAGTTTGATAGTATTTAAAATAATATGTCTATACTTTAATTTAACTTTGATATGATATTAAAAAGTAAATTTTAAGTTAACTAAATTTCAAAAAATTAACTTGTAAATAAAATAGTTTTGTATTCGTTTATATATTATAAATTGATATTATTTATTTATAATCATGTAAGACTTCCAACGTTAACACTTAGTTTTTAATATATATATATATATATANCTGTCTAGGGGAGTAGTAGTTTGCATGATCCCTTGAGAATGGGTAGAAAGCCCCTACTTCAATCCATCTATTGCATAGTTCTTCAGTAGGCTGTGGATAGAACCCACATATATCTGAACCCACCATTGGCACCCCAAATATGCCAAAATTGAGCATTGTGGAGATAGAGTACTTCAAGTTTTCCCATGTTCCCTGATTGTCACCTGTCCAATGTGCAGCATATTTGCCTGAACCAACATAAGTAGAACGGGACAAAATAAAGGGTCTTTTTCCTTGAAGCCCTTGAAGGCCCTTGTGAGTTGCAATGGTTTGTGAGAAGCCATAAAGACTGTGAGCGTCATACTCTAACACACCGTTATAGTGGTATGCACTAGTGGCTATTGTTTTGAAGCCAATAGGAGCTTTTATTCCTGAGGCGTTAATTTTGTATGGAGGATCGTCCCACCTTGTGCTTGTGATGTTCTTGCATTCCAAGCAACATATCCATCCAGGTCCTGTTCCAGTAGGGCACTTTCCCTTGGGAAGTTTGCACTTTCCAGAACAGAAATTTGACACCTCGTTCATGTCGATCCACAGGCCATCAACAGGTACAAGTTCATGGAAGCGGCGGATCTCATCAACCCACCAAGAAACCGTCTTTGGATTAAGAAAATCAGGGAAGTTTACTGCCCCAGGCCAAACTTGAGCCACGAAGGGTTCCCCATCATATTTGATAAAAACATCATTAGCCATACCCCTTTGATAAACACCATAACTGGTGTTAATAGCAATTCCAGGGTCTATAATGACAATATATTTCATGCCAATGTTGTGTATCTTGTCCAGGAAGTTCAAAAGCTTTGGACGAGGGTAGTTCGCAGGGTTGAGTGTGAAGTCCTTCTTTCCATCCATGTGATCATCATCATTCCAAATCACATCAAGTGGGATTTGAGCCTTCTTGTAATTCTCCACAACATCTTCAACCACTGAGAGATTGTGATATCCCCATCTGCATTGGTGGAATCCTACAATACCAAATACGTGAAAATATCAGTTAAACTACTCATGGAAAGAAAAATCCAGATACAACTTTCAAATGTAAATGCAAATTATATAGATATAAGGCAAAATCTCTCATGCTTTAAATTCACCCCACTTCCCTACACTTCATAAGCTCTTGTCTCTCTGCTCCACTCCTCTCCCCAAGGACAAATATACACACAAACACGGCATGAATCCACCATTAGATCGTAGGAAACAATAATAATCTAACTGTATACTTCCCTTGACACAAGGATAATGTTATTCCAGCATGTCCGCAAGATCAAGCAGATTAAATAACAAAGGGCATCCGAGATCAGGACAGCACCAAGTTAAAATTGAAGATGGAAAGTCCTTGGATCAGTTTTAAAATTGTATTGAAAACTGATTCATGAATTTTTCACAATAATCCTCATCCCTATTGTAGTAATTGATCCTTTAATTCCATTTATCAAGAAACCCTATCTTTAAAAGGACAGGAAAATTATTGCCAAGGTTAGTCCTATCAGTACATCTTTCTCCCTAGATAAAAAGTAAAGTGATATAACCACGTGTATGCAATGATAGTCCTTGACAAGGACCCACAGATTGCTTTGTAGAATCATGTAACAAAGGTCAAATTCTTGAATCAAAAGTTATTTATTTAGAAAAGAGTAACTCTTTTATATGGAAAAGTTAAGTTGCCAACTTTTATGTGGCATCTTATCGTTCCATGTGGACCTGAAAGGTATTAAATTACTCAACTACTAAAATTGGACGTACAAAAGTTAACCACGACACAATTCATAAAATTTGTGACTTATCTTTGCAGACCCAACTTTAGAAAACAAATCAGAACATCCCCCGTTATTCAATATACAGATAAGCTAAAGCAGAAAACAGCTAATTGGAAAATCATAACTCTCTGCATTTTCAACTGCATTATGCACCAAAACAAAATAATATCAGAATTGTACACAAGAAAAGTCACTGAAATCAAATAATGATATGAGAGCTTAAATTCCTTGGATTTTTTTTTCAAGGCGAGGACACTGTATCATTAAGTATTTGGATCTATCAAGGCCCAGTTTTCGTAATGAATAATTACTCAGTCTACCTAAAAGGAGAATGCTAAATGTTGAATATTAAATATTAAATGTTGACAGCACCCAAATAAATATCAGTAATGCCATAAATACCAAGTAGAAAAGGCAATATTAAAAAACAGAAGAGTGACAAATGAATCATACCAAAGGCCCAGTAAGGCATTGGAGCTGGTCTACCAATTAAGGTAGTGTACTGATCAACAACATTCAGAGGACTAGGCCCAGAAAAGAAGTAAAAGTCAAGAACACCTCCAATAATCTTGTATGTAAGAGAAGTTCCTGTGTAGAAAACATCCATTCCATTGCTATTGAGCAACAGAACACCATGTGCAGAAGCCTTGCCACCTGAGTTTCTGAGATCCATGTACACAGGGTGCGATCCATACAGATCGGCATTGAGATTAATGGCAGAAATGTCAGTGGTGTACAAGGTGTAAGGGTCACTAGGGTACAACTTGATCCCATGTGGCTGTGTGTTCTCTCCCAAACCATACAAGGAGGCATCCTTAGGCAGTTTGGTGGAAATCTCAAGGTACTGGTCCTTGAAAACAAGAGAACTAAAAGGGTCAGAATCACCAGAGGAGGTATCAAAAAGGGTCTCACCATTAGACTTCCTTTTAACCACAAAACTAAAAGGGTCTGAAGTGTAGCTAAACAGAAATTCAGAACCAGAATACTCAGTAACAGTTATAGGGTTCTTCCTGAACTTCCCAATGCTTTGAGACAAAGGTGGTGGTTGCTCCCTCGGTAAAAGGTTGTAGGGAACCTCCCACCTTTGCTTCTGTGCATCGGTTATGTGTACCCTTAAACGATTATCTGCCTCATGCCTGCGATATCAGAAACAATTAACAAGGTCAAAATTAGAATGAAAAAAAAACTTTTTTCTTGGATTGAAACACAAAAAACAGTATTTATTTTTCCTCCATAATTGTCTTTCGTTATATTAAAATACTAAATATAAACATACTAGGTAAAAAAGACTTTCTTTTCTTTTATTGAAACACCAAAAGCATTACTTTTTCCTCCATATTCATCTTCAAGATCCTGTCAGATACTGAATAGAAACATTTTTTTTCTAGCGGAATCCACAATCTTATCCCACACACTTCCAAATACAAAATAAAAACATTTTCTTTAGCAGAGATTTAAACATTTATGACTAACATCTTTCCCCAAACTAATTTTATGAAAATAAAAAAAGGGGACTTTCTAAAAACAAAAATGCAGATGAATGTGCACAGCAGTAGTAGAAGAACTGAGACTTACTTGACATAGAACCTAAGAAGGGGAATGTCAGGGCCATATGTTTTGGTTTTCTGCTTAAGTTGCAGGATCCCTATAAGGCCACCATCAGGGGTCTCTTCAATGGAGACAAGACGGTAGCCCTGGCCAATTTTTGTGGCATTTTTGGAAGAAGAACTAGCTCCTGCTGAACACAGAAGCAGAGCTAGGAGAAGGGAGGAGAGAGATATAGCAGCTAAATGGTTTGAAGACACCATAGCTAACTATGGAGTAATGCAGTGGTGAGTGCTGCTACTGCTACTGTGAGGGTAGCAATGGTGTATAAATAACCAGCCAAGCAAGGTAGATGCCTGATGCAGAGCAAATTACCCTCTTACCCATATGTGTATTTTTAGTAGGCTTGTGTTAAGATATGAGTATTACTATAGATAAAATAATATATATAATTTGGTATCCAAGGTAAGAAACTGTGTTACTTTAGTTCTTACGTGATACTGTAAATAAATTATGGTATGCCATCTGATAAATCTGTTCTGGTAAAGAGATAATGATTTTCTTTGCTGTGGTACTCATTATATTTTTATTATTATTAATTTTTAATCAAATATCCTTTTATACTTATAATTTTTATATAGAAATTAAGTTCTTATACCATTAATGTTTTACTTTGCATTTAGTGTTTATTTTTATATTTGACGATTTATTTATTCTTACTTATTGGTTATATCAATTAGAAATCTGTTTTCAGATTATGTATTTATTTTTATTTAATTATAATAAAATCTTTTTATATTTATATATATATATATATATATATATATATATATATATATATTACATATTCCAAAATTTGTGTCATTATTTTTTAAATTAGTTTTAAGTGATAAAATTTAATTTAAGATAAACTGAAAATATACTTCTTACATTTTTCTCTAAAGTATGTCGGAACATTACATATCACTATACATTTAATTTGTTATTTTAGTTCTTAGGTAATACTTTGAATAAATAAAGGCATATTCTCTTATATACCTTTTACTGATTTATGAAAATTATTAAATAAAAGGTAATAATATTTCCTATTTAGAAAATTTTACAACTATTTAATCCTTTCTTTATTTAATAAATAAGACAAAGTTTTTTAGTTAAAAGATGATTAGTTATCTATTATGAATTATGCTATTTAAAAAATATATATTTTCTTATGTTTCCAACCAATTATATTTAGTTGAATATTTAACTAATTGTATAAGTCGTGTTCACTCTAAAATTAAAAATTGTTTCTAAATTAACCATAAGTTAGGAATACTAATTTGAACAAATAAATAGGTTTTCGGTTTTCCAAATAATATATTTGAATTAATTGTTTTCTAATATAGTATTGAGGGAGACTTGTGTGACGTTGAGTGTTTAGTTGGTTGTGTAAGTTTGGAAGTAATTTTGCTCCAAACACTTAAGCACCCATTTTTCTGTCGAGCGACCAATTTTGCGAATGGTCTAACGTTGAATGATGGCAAGACACCGCTAAGTGCTACTTTTCACTACAAGTTTGAAACTATTTTTAATTCCAAGCCATTGAGTGACAGAATGATGTCGCTGAGTGAGCCATTTTGTGAGAAGAATGACATTTAACGCCAAAGTTGCAATGAGCAAAAACTTTTGTGCGAAAAGTTTTGTGCTGAGCACCAATTTATATGATTATTTTGGTTTATTCCTTTAGTTGTTTTGTATTTATCTATATCATTCATAATTTTGCTAATAAGTATAATGACTACATGAATGTGCATGAGAACCTTATATGCTTATGTATGGTTTGGTTGTTGAAAGAATTTTAATGAGAAAATCTATGTTGTTCAGTATCTGAGCATATGGGAGTTCAAACATAATGTATCCTGATGTATTATCAACTATTTAACTCATAAAAAGATGAATGGGGTAGGACACAGAATGGCATGAGGTATTTACTTGAACTTTTGGTCTTAGGCATGAAAGATTAACCTTAGTAGTAGAATGATAACCACTATGTTTATGACTCTCTAGAGCATAAATACTACTATGAGTGCACATCTATAGTGAAACCCTGTGTTAAAGCATATATCTAGATAATTGAGTTTAAAGTCAATTATATGTATGTTTATATAAGTTATAGTATTTTATAAATGTTGAACTAATATGTCATATGCTTAAATTGCTTTATGAAGTTTTCCTTTGAATATTAACTTACTCTGTCTTTTCTTTTTTTCTATATTGTTTTACTTTTACAATGATCACCTCTCAATGTGAGAAAAAAATAAGTTAATCGCTAACCTACCTTTGATGAAAGGAAAAAACTTAAAGGTTTATATTTGTTGTTATAGCTAGACGTTATATATAGGAATTCTTTAGTTTTAAACAATTTTAGTAGTTTCACTTGTACATATATTATATTGGTATAATTATTATTTTGAGTAACTGTCTTAATATTTTGTATGTTCTTTTATTTATTTATTATACATGATCAAAATTTATAACATTTCATTAGTTTTATACTGGATGTTACATTTAGAAAAAAATAAAACAAAATAAATTTATTTATAGATTAAAATTAATTAAATTGTAGAAACTATTTTTCATTATTTATTTAAACTTAATTGATTTTAAATAGTTTATAAATTTCAGAATTTTTTTAATATATATTTAATTAAGCAATTATAATATTATTTGACGTTTGTCTGCCCTAATTATTATTGTTTTTGTTTTTATTTCATCTTTGATTTATTCAATTTATTTTGTTAATGTTTTATAATTTATCGATTAATTTCTTTTTAAAAGTAATTTAACTGACAACTTAACAAAAAAATAAAAAAGTCTATTTTAATTTATAAGTTAAAGATAAGATGGTAACTAAATATTCTATTATTTTATTATTGACAAAACAAATAATAAAATATTGAAATAAAAAAATATTTGAGGTATTTAATAAAACAAATTTTCAAATTTATATATTATTTAAATATTTAAATAAAAAAATATTCAAATTTATATATTATTTAAAATTTATTTAAAGTCTTTTATATGAAAAATTGTATTAATGAATGAAATTGCATAATCCCCGTCCCACTCTACACTCTACTTGCAATGTCACAGCATGGTGTAGTTTCAAAAACTAGCTTTCCTTAACAGGTGACAAATATGTTAATAGTTTAGGAAAAGTTTGTCTTCTTATAAACATTTTTCTATTCACTATCCGGAGATGATGGCAACAGTTAATAATAATGTCAAGATATTAATAGGGTTTTACATTTCATATTGATATAGTGCAGAAGAATTTTAAAACTAAGATTTAAATTTTAAAAGTAAAAAAAATCTCTTAAAACTAATAACGTATTTTTTGAACATTAATCATTAAATTAAATTTTTAAAATAAAAACGTAAATTACATTATTAAAAGAAAGTTAAAAATATATTAATTATGTTTTTATCAGTACAACTGAACCTACAATACAGTTCAATATCAAAAACGTTTCATATAATTGAATTAAAATCATTATATCTATTATTTTTCTAATTTAACAATCAAATTATGTCAGATAAATTCTAATTTTTAACTATAATATGTTTAACCCTTTTGTAATAGAGATAAAATTTAATTTAAATTTGAATAGTTAAAAATAAAAAATATATATTAACCCTTGGAAAAGCAATGTGGAAGTAGGAGGGAGTTATCCGATGCATGTGATAGTGTGGGGAATCCCAACAATTGTCATGGTGTGTGGGGGTAGTACGGTCCCATCAGCGTGCTTTGTTTCTTTCTAATATTTCTTTCTAATATTTCTCTCTCTCTCTCTCTCTCTCTGGACCCATCTTGACCCATCTTGCGCTTGCGTCTCACATTTTTCTTAGCCCTGCTTCAGGGCATCTTACGCGTATCATTTGTAATGTACTCGTGCACAAATTCAATATTAATATTAAACACATGTTTGGTTACATCTTATTAACTATCTCTACCAATTTTAATATCACATTAGCTCTTCTAATCCGTCAATTAAGAATAAATTAAATCATTGTTCACTCTTTCTTTCTCTTTACTCATAGAAGAGACATAGGAGGTACGGTTTGTGATATTTATTGACCTCAATGTGTACATATGACATTTGTAGGGTTTTCTCCTCTGGATATTTTTCTTTCTTTATAAAATATATCTAGTTGTTTTTTTCTCTTATTTTATCAACTATTACTTCTTAGATATTGGAGATTTTATAATAATAGAAGAAGTTTACTTGACATTAATGAATAGTTTGATAGTATTTAAAATAATATGTCTATACTTTAATTTAACTTTGATATGATATTAAAAAGTAAATTTTAAGTTAACTAAATTTCAAAAAATTAACTTGTAAATAAAATAGTTTTGTATTCGTTTATATATTATAAATTGATATTATTTATTTATAATCATGTAAGACTTCCAACGTTAACACTTAGTTTTTAATATATATATATATATATATATATATATATATATATTTATTAATTAGACATATCTTTTTCACGTGATTAAATGAAGTAAAAGTTAAATATATATTAAATTTAATTATATTTTTTAATTAATTTGTCCACTAATATTAGAGAATAAAAACAAGTACCTGAATTAGAATGTTAACACTTATTTCTGATCACTAACTAAGTGTGAAATATCTTTCCAAGCATTTACCTAAGGAGGTTGAGAGATGATAAATGCATTTTCAAGGGTCAAAATACCTCACTCTGAATTTTTGTAAGTGCATTAATTGATTTCGAAAAAAATATGAAGAAAAATAGAAACAAGTATGTTAAATGTGTTATATATTATTTTTTATTGGAAAATAAATAAGTAGAACAGAAGCAACAGTATGATAGACGTAAACTTGACGGTGTGGTGTGACTGTGTTTGAGAACAGAAAATAAGAAACGTGGCGTGATTCTCGGCAGGATCCAATCTTTGGCTACAAAAGTCCAGGTAGATATAATCGATGGAGGCTTCTCTTCTCTATCCGTAGGCGCTGTTACTCATGGAATATCTTCGTCTCTTCTTCCCCCCTTTTTTATATATGTTAAAAAACTTAGACAATTTTCATGTTAATAAATCTTCTGGAATTTTTCAACTATATCATTTGACCTGACGAATTTTGTAATGGTTCTTGCAAATCATTTTAGAAATCAAGGACAAAATAAAATATAGATGGAAACAAACATATTATTTGGCATTTTTTGTTTGCATTCCTCATCCTTTTGTTTTATTTGTTTTCGAGACTATTTCCGTTTGAGTCCTAAAATTATTATTCCAATAAT